AAGCTGAATCTTTGGGTTCCTTTAAATCAGAGCTAGATAAGATTTTAACAACTCTGAGCTATTAGTTAAGTTCTCCCCAAGCGAGCTCGATGGGCCAAATGGCCTCCTCTCGTTTATATAGTTCTTATGTTATTATGTAAGGCCCTTAACCCCCAGCTCCCTGGGCGCCCCAACAGGTGGCTGCCCTTCGCAGACAACTTACTCTACAAAGAGCAAGTTGAGGGAGGCGTAAAGACAATTTCCCCACGGGAATTAATAAAGTATCGATGATTAGTAGTGCAACGGATCACTGTTGATCCGTGATCCGAACCGATCCCTCTCCACGGTTCGGCACGCACGTGATTAGAAAAAATCATAGCCAGCGATAGTGGTCCGAGCAGAGGAGCTTGAGAAACCTCCAGCATCACTTAAATCTCACGTGTGGAAGCATTTTGGCTTCCCTGTTAAGTATATTGATGGGAAAAGGGTGGTGGATAAAACCACCACAGTTTGTCAACAGTGTGGCATGAGGAAGCCATATGAGACTGGCAACACGTTGGGCATGGCCGCTCATTTGAAACGACATCACCCTGGTGTGACAGGAGCTAAGACAAAGGCTGCGCAACAACCGCTGATATCCGCGGCATTTAAGCAGCCCTTTGCTGCCCAAGCTAAAGCTATTACAAAAGCTATTGGGGTGTTTATAGATGTTATAAGCTCACGTCTGCTTTGCTTTCTTTCTTCTTTTTTGATGATGTGGACATAAGCTAGTTTCTATTTCATTCTCCATGTTCAAAGTAAGAAGCAATGATAGGCCTACCTTAAATTGCATTTTAAGTTGTTTTTGATTGTGTCCACATTAAAGGAAATAATGATCATGCCCTATATTGCACCTTAATTTGTTCTTATATAATTGCATGGAATGAGTCTTGAGTTGAATGTTTTTTAATGGGCAAAAAATACTTAAATACACCACTAATGATTAGTACTTAAATTATTATCACCACCTACCGTAGTGATATTTAACACATGCAAAAAGCCCATATGTGCAATGCTCATTATAACACAGTAACTAAGTTATTACTATTATATAGTAAATTACCTGGATCCGTTTAGGTTGCATCCATGTCTGCTTCTGCACATCGGACACTGTACATACTGCTAATTTATAATCCATACTTTATGCTTCTATACCTTTATATTTAATTTTCATCTTTATATTTAAAAGTACTTAATTTCGCTCCACGGCATGTGCGAACATGTGCGGAACGACAATAAAGTTCTTGAATCTTGAATCTACTTATGAAACACTGGATTAACAAGCTTTTGGCAATAACAAAATTTGCACATCTTTCTAAAAAGTTGGTTTTTGCCTTGTCATTATGGGGGACTCTGTGTAGATTTTTGAGGAACAACTATACTCCAATCAAAATAAGTACAGGTACATAAAATGTGGAAAAAGTGAAGGGGTGTAAATACTTTCTGGCAGCACTGTATGCATATGATTACATTATTGGCCACTGCTATCACTGTTTTCCCACTGCATATGTGTATTTTAGTTTGTAATTTTAGCCAACAGGAGTTTTTTCAAGAACGCATAAGTCACATTGTTTCAGGACTGACTAACTTGTTTTGTGTAAAATGATGCAGGTTTTACTGTATTGGCAGGCTGTATTGGATTTTTATGCAATTCTGGGTAAATTCTTTGATAAGAAAAAAAAGTGAACATGAAACATATTTTGAATACTTTACAGATCATTAAATGAAGAATGCTCATACCTGCATCTGCCCAACAAAGGTGCTTGGACACTGGGTTGAAGGTTAGGGCATTGGGTAATCCAATCCCATCCTGGACCAAAATCCTTCTGTTCTGGCCCTCAACAGTTGACTGCTCGATTTTTGGAGCATCTCTATTCCAGTCTGTCCAAAAGAGGATTCTGCAGAAACACACACAAGCGTAGTTGTAGTTTACATGGAAACCTGCTGGTTACTACTGACAAAGCAGTGATTGTTGGTTATTTTAATATTCACATGGAGAATGACAGTGATCCTTTAGCAACAACGTTTGCTGCTATTCTTGACTCTCTTGGTGTGTGTCAGAATGTAGTTGGGGCTACTCATGCCTGTAACCACACCCTGGATTTGATTATTAGCCATGGTGTCCTGGTGGAGCATGTATGTATTATCCCTCAGAATCCTCTACTTTCAGATCATTACTTGTTAATATTTGAAATACAGTATATCCTCCCTTTGGCCTCAGCTCCAAAGTACAGTATCAGACGTTCCATACCCTCATAATCTACAACGTTTCTTGACCAATTTTAACAGTCCTTCAACCTTAAAGCTGAAGCCTCAAGTGAAAATGAACATGAGCAGGTAATTGTGAACATGGAGAACTTCTTTCGGAGCACTCTAGATCTTATAGCTCCACTTAAGAAGATAAAGCATAGAGATAAGAAATCTGCCCCCTGGTACTATGATCATAAGTGTGAACTTGATGCAAGCTAGAGTGCAAATGGCACTCAATTAAACTCAACTAAAGATTTCAGATCTGCCTGGAAAGAGAGCTTCTCTAAGTACAGACAAGCACTAGCGACTGCTAGATCTGTGTACCTCTCCAGACTAATAGAAGAGAACAAAAACAATCCTAAATTCCTGTTTGAATCTGCGTCCAGGTTAACACAGAATACTTCAATGTTAAACTCACAAGTCCTACAAGCTCTTACAGTGATGACTATTGCATTTTTAATGGTAAAACAACTAGGATTAGACAGACTATCCAGAACTGGTAGCTACATACAGCTACCAGCCTTCTGCTAGTCCTATTTGTACTGATAATGACACCTTTGAATCTTTCTTTCTTGTTAAACAATCAGAACTTTTGAGCATAATTTCCTCCTGCAAACCTTCTTCTTGCCCTGTAGACCCAATTCCTACAAAACTGCTTAAGGAGATTGCACTACTGATTAGCACTGCCCTGTTAAACTTGTTAAACTCGTATCTTAAGCTTGGATATGTTAGAAAACCTTTTAAAATAGCTGTTATTAGATCTGTTCTATATAAATACAATATTATAAGTATAAATACGTATAAGTATAAATACAATCTTGACCCAAGTGATTTGGGAAATGATAGACCAATCTGAAATCTTCCTTTCATTTCACCTATCCTGGAAAAAGTATTTGTTCATCAGCTGTCTTCCTTGCTACAGAAAAATAATGCTAATGGATAATATTGGTATGGTTTAGACCAAACCATAGTACAGAAACATCTTTAATCAAAGTAACAAATTATTTGTTTATGGCTTCTGACTATGACTGTATATCCTTATTGGTGTTACTAGATCTAACTGCAGCATTCCATACTGTGGACCATAATATTCTCTAGGACTGGCTAGAATCTGTGGTTAGCATTTAGGGGATAGCTCTCTCTTGGTTTTGCTGTTATTTAACTGAACGTTAATAGTTTGTCCAAATGAATTTTCCAAGCACACGAAAGTCAAATATGGTGTCCACAGGGATCAGTGCTAGGCCTGCCACAGCTCACTTTATATATGCTACCACTTGGTATCATTATTAGAAATCATGGTGTTGGGTTCCACTGTTATGCTGATCATACACAGTGTGTGTGTGTGTGAGAGTGTGCGTGTGTGTGCGCTGTCCCAAACAATTATTCTTTTAACGATTAATCTAGCGATTATTTTTTCGTTTATTCGACTAATCTAACAACTAATAAGCAATTATTTTCAAGTTAGCCATTTCATACAATTCACCCTCTCCCACGCACACAAATCTGAAATTCTCATTAACATTTCAATTAATTAAAACATTTCTTAAACATTAGAGCATTATTACAAAAAAGGTGTCATGACTGAAGTATTCAGCCATGTCGCCTCGTGCACGGGGGGGTGGGGCGGGCGGCAAATTTCCTTTTTGCAGGGTGGTGGTAGATGTCTCATTAATATTTATGAGAGAAGTGCTATATGATTGGCCAGTGCATGCCTTACAAAATAGTGCGGCACTGCTGGCACCGGCGATATTAGAGAAAACTATATTGGAATTCAGTCTATAATTGATATAGTTTTAATGGTGCCAGTGTTACGTGTGTGTGTGTCCAGTCCATCTCTCCATCGGATCCCATTCCATCAAGCTGCTGATTCCGGTTCCGTATTTTCCATCTCTCTACACAAGCCATGCCAAAACTGGATCAATTGGTTATCATCGCCTCGTTCCCGTTTCCCGCCTCTACAGCCCCGGATTATAAAAGACGCCTGCACACCCCATCTCCCAGCTCTTGCTCGTGATTTGTATTTGCTTTGCCTTTTGCTATTGTATTTTTGGATTTACTGTTACGACCCGTTTTTGGCTTTCGACTTTCGCGTTTTTGGTTTTTGATTTGGTTTTGGTTGCTCGGCTTGGATTGATTTACCCGTGTTTTGACTATTGCCTGTTTATCGACTATTCTTAGGATTTCGGATTGGTTTTGTTTGCTTGTGTTATATATATATATATATAATATTTCTTTTTTTGTATGTGTGTGTGTATGGGGATAAGGGTTGTAGGGAGTGACTGCCATTTGTTTTCTGCGTGTACGGCGTTTTTGTCCCTGTTTTGTGATTAGCGAGGGTTAGGATAGCGTTTGTCTTTTGTTTCACTTTTGTTTTTGGTTAGGGAAGTTCGTCGGTACGCGGTTAGTTAATTCACTGGATTTTGTTTATTGTTTTGGCCGGTGTCACTCCTGAAGCTCGCCTTTTCCCCTGAAATACACAGTGTTACCATCATCATCGCCTTGGGTGTTGATTATTCCCTCACCTCCTTCTCCTCTACCTCCCGACTCCCTGTTCCCCTTTTCCCGAACCATATCGCTGTTTACGCCCCGTCCCTAGACCGGGACGTAACACCAGTAGTGAAACAACTAGCCAGCTTATTAGCAGAATAACTTTGTATTATAAATGAAAACCATGCCACAGGTCCAATAAATAAAATATTGTAGCTCTTGAGTGGCAAAGAGATCATCAGGTGGACAGTAAAGTTCAGTTATTAGTAGACTGTTTTATTGCACGATTCTTAAAAGGACAGCGTTAACGTGCTCCCGAAGGAATAAAGTACTTTCCCTTACAATACGTTTAGCTGATCACTTAATGCATTGCAGTTACAAAACATTTTACGTAGTTTTACACAACGCGTCGACACTAAAATTCCACGTCGACGCATTTTTATAATCAACATTGTCGATTACATCGAATTATCATTCCAGCCCTAATATATATATACACAGTGGTACCTCGGAACTCGAACTTAATCCCTTCAGAATTGAATCCTAAAAAGTTCGAGATCTGATCGAATTTTCCCCATAAGGAATAATGGAAAACCAATTAATTGGTTCCCGGCCCCAAAAAATTACACCTAAATATGTCTTTTTTAGCATTTAAACACAAAATGATCCAGATAAAACAAGAAGAGCATATACTGTACTAAACACATCTAAGCACATTTATCAAAACAGTAATTTGTAAAGTAAGAAAATAAATGTATCCAAACAAGTAAAAAAAAAAACAATGGGCCTCATTCACCAATATTTTCTTACGAATTCTCTTAAATTTGTTCCTGAAAAATTTGTTAAGAACAACCTACAGATTCATGATGTGTTCTTAAGTAGCAGAATTGTTCACACCTTTGTTCTTAAGAATAGTGAATCCCACGTCTTCGTAACTGAAAGCGCGTGATAGTTTGTCCTAATTAGCATAGGGAAACGCCCTGCAATTTCCCATAAAAGGGCATGAGACTGTAGGGCTCTGTGCAAGGAATGGCAAAGAGACGCACAGGTTGTGAGCTGCTTGGCACTAAGAGGAAAAAAAACTTTAGTAATGCTGAAGTAGAAGTATTAATACAGTAAAATCCCAATATAGTGGACTCGCTTATAACGGAATCTCATCTATAACGAACAAGGTCCGCTGGTTCCGGCCGTGCGCCTTTAAGAACATGCAGAAAAAGTATTGGATATAGCGGACTCGCATTTAACGGAACTTCGCTTATAACGGACAAATAATTTAATCCCCAGCGCCACTTTTAGCTGTAGTTTTGTTCGACTATAATGGACATGCAGCTCCGCTGACAAGGCACATGGTGATATCCAGCGCAGATATGTAGTCGGGATTATTAATAGTCACGCATCTGCTGAGGTAAAGTTGGATTACTACATGTACAATATAATAATTTATAATAATTTAATGGGGTGTGGCATGAGTAAATGTTGTCCTGTAGTTGTGTTCTGGGCATACAGCAACTCTGCATATAACGGACTTTGGATATAACGGACTGTTTTGCCAGGTCCCTTGAAGTCTGTTATAACTGGATCTTACTGTACAGGAGGTAAATGCAAATAGACACATGTTATTTAGTAGCGTAACCAGTGGATATAAAGCCCCAAAGAAAGCTGATACATGGAAAGATATCACCTTCTCTGTGAACGCTGTGTGCCAAATAAATCTAAATGATCTTCAAACACGTGTTCCCTTCTCAGAGCACGACTGGCAAGCTCTTCAAGGAATAACTGAAATGCCATTTTGATAGCAAGACCAATGCGCAGAAACAGACCTATTTATAATCCGCATGATCGCCGTTACTACCATGAAAATAATTTTACAATTTAAAATTATTTTTTATATTTTACTTTTATAAATTATTCAAATACTTTCACTTTATGAACTGTAGAATGAACAAAACTGCTATAACCAATTATTTTGAACAAACTATCATTACTCAAATGTGCGTACGAATGGTCTTGAGTGTGCGTAGATTCTGTTCTTAGCTAAGAACAAATTCAGATAAGAAAACATTGTTGTATGTCAGAATCTTCATAAAAAAGTGCGTATGTGGGGATTAAGAACAAATTTGTTCGTAAGAATGGTTGGTGAATGAGGCCCAATGTATCCTACCCCGATATTCCGTTCCTTTCATGTGCCATGCCCCCTCGTTAACCCCGTGTGGAATCCCTGTGTGATCAGCTGTTTCTGGTTGTTGTCATTAGTCCTCTGTATTTCGTCCGTGTTTCCCCAGTCCGGTCATTGTATTGTCCGTCTGCGTTTTGCCTGCCTTACCTGTAATTAAACCCCGTATTCCCCGATACCCTGATGTCTGCGCCTTTGTCTCCATTCTGTCCCCACTCGGCATGACAATACTATTATAATTAAATGTATTAATGGTTTATTATTTATATTAAAATAATTAATAAGAAATCTTTATTTTTTAAATGTATTTTATTGTATAATAATATTCACTGTTACTGTCTATCATTGTCTAAATGTAATTTTATTGTCTAAATATATGTATTCAGCTAGTGTAAACATGCACGATGCTATCACAGCGAATGCGAGGCTGAGACTGAAGCTTTACGCTTTGCTTCTGCTGACAAACATGTCACGTGACTCATTTCCCCGCACGTACAAGTTATCTTAGGTCAGCGTTCACGGTTTGACTTATATATATATACGCACACACACACACATACTAGTACAGGCATCGCAGGCAGCAGGGTAGGCAGAATATCTTGATATTTAGAAGACTGTCTACTAGACATCCAGTGTTGGATAGCAAAAAAATCCTTATGAGAAACACAATAAAACAGAACTTGGTGGTCTTCCTACTCAGCTTAACACAATGGTCAGAGATCTTGGTTTCAGAGCATTCTCTTATATTGCTGTGGAACAGTCTTCCAGTGGATGTGTAAGATTCAGGCTCACTCTCAATGTTCAAGTCCAGACTAAAAACACACTTTTTTAGTCTAGTATATTAAAGTGACTCTAGCTCTGGCTCTAGCTAACTGCTCACTCCCAGTTAGAGCTATAGTGTGAGGTGCAGAACTGAGTGGGGATTGGTGTATTTCGCTTTGGATGTCGCTTTGGATGAATTGAACTGTCAGTGCTGTCACTGTAGCTCTATATCCTCTTGTGGAATTGGAATGCTGATGATTCAGGGTCTCCCCATGTCTGCGTTCCCACTTCCCTCTCCCTCCCTCTTATACTGCCATAGCCATATCTGCCGGAGCTTACATATTGCACTCACCTAAATGTTTCTAGTCTCCCCTACTTTGGCTAATGGCACTTTATATTTCCTCTACCCCTTCCGGGGTGTGCTGTCTGGAGATCACAAAATATCAAGATTCTGCCTACCCTGCTGCCTGCAATGTGAACATGGCGTGACAGCCCATCCCATTTTTGCTTACAGTGAAAATTACAGCAGCAAATTCTTAGACCACCTTTTCTGTGGTGCCCTGCTGGAGCTGTTATTTTTTGGCCCCAGGGCCAGTTTTTTTTTTTTTTAGGTGGATGTGCGCAAGAGGTTTTTTTCCATTTTTTTCAATTTGTTATAACACATAGTTATACAGTTAATCTAATAAACGGTTTAACTTAAAAAGAATGGCTACCCATTATATGTATTTTTATAAAGGGGCACCTTCTGCATGGAAATTTGAATGGAAATGATTATTTATATGCTTATAATTTATTACAATTATCTACATATTGAAAAAATTCTAGCTCATCCCATACTAGGCATGCATATAATAAATCTATGAATGTTACAGAAGATGAAATCACTACATTTCCTTAAATTTTAGGTGTAAGGTTTAAATTTTTCTGTAGAGAACAATTTAGTAAAACATACCCACTGGTAGAGTCCACAATTATGGCACGTGGGTTGACCAATTCAGTGTCAAACAAGACTCTTCTTCTACTGCCATCCAAATTAGACGTTTCAATCTTGTCTAAACCACTGTCAACCCAAAACATTGTACTCCGGAATGCATCCACAGCCAGACCTTCTGGAATGGTAAGCCCTGCAGAAATTTCATTACTTAATTGCTGTTTTTGTTCATAAAACATTCTTTCCTGTGACAATGAATAATAAATGAATTTCAGTTCTGAATGTGAAAATGGAATTGAATTGAAATTTAATTATTTGAATTCCCTGCGTTCAAAGCCACCTGTATTGACGACAGTCTCAGGTTCTGCCCCAGGCTCTAGACTGGCTCTGTTGATTGTCCGTCCAGCGAGATCTGTCCAATAAATCTTTTTGTCCCTACAGTTGTAATCAATCCCAACCACAATAGAGCCCTACAAGAAGAAACAACACAAGGTAGTACATTGATCAATATGTACACATAAATGCTGTTAACCTGTCATTTACTTTCCAAGCAGTCGTGTATTCAATCCAAAACTTAACGCAATCTTTTCTGATTACTCTGCTGTATTGTATCTAGGCGAAGGTGTACTGAAGATAAAAACAACATATTACGTGAAGTGCCAGCAGGATAGAGGCCTTTCCTGTTTCCATCCTGGTACCATTAAGTGGCAGTGCTCCGATTTGCTGGCCCTGGGCATAAAGCAGACTAGTTGCTGATATAGAGGGTGTCATGTCAGGAGGAGGTACTGGGTACATGGTGGGGGGAGCCTCAGTTGGAATACCTGTACATCACAGCAGATTTACATTTTACATTTATTTGATCCTAGGGGAAATTTCTTTAAGCAGTCAGATGGGACTTGTACCCACAATTCCTGGCTTAACAGACTAATATCTTGTTCATTCGGCCATTGGGGCTACCAACCAATTACTATTCAACAAATGAAGAGGTATGTCTAACTAAAATGTTAAAAGTTAGTACTCACAAGCAGGTCTCACAGCATTGTGCAAGCGTGTCCCAGGCACCTCTCTCCCATCCTTGTCAACACACCAGCAGTAACTACTGTCTCCATAACATTGAACAGGGTTGAACTGACCAGTGCTGTCGCACTGGGGTGTGTAATGGGATGAGGCTGGGTGACCTCTATAGTGCTCCATCAAGCTATCTCTCCAGCGTTCACAAATGCTCCCTGGACGCTGTGTGGGCCACGGTTTCACTGAGACATGGAAACACTTCACTGGCAACTGTACTTCAAATATGAAATATCAATCTCGTATTAGTAAAAAAATCTAACTCTGTGTCTATCCATTCTTTTTCCAAACCAATTATTTTTATAATTTGTGTTTTCATAATTTGTCCCAAAGATACAAAAACCAATCAAAAAACCATTTGTGAAGTGCAGTGCAGTGTTAGTACCATCGCTGCATAGGAAGCTCATGCTATAATTCTATTTTTTTAGATGGTCTTACCTGGTAGATCACAATTGACAGATGGTGTGCCAGGTGGTGTTCGGGTGCCAGGCAGCTCCAGCCCTTTAGCATCCACACACCAGCAGTGCCCTGTTGCACCGTGGCACTGCTGGGCTCTGTACTGGCCTTCCTCATCACACTGGGGGATGAAGGTGCCCAGCGCATGCCGTGTCCATGGCTCTCCTCTCTGCAGGCCCTCTCTGTGCTCCTCACACTGCGTCCTGGGCCTTTCTGCATGCATTGGATATATAAAGAATGTTCAGGTTATTTTTTAACCAACTATTTTGGTGATCTTGACCATTATTATTTTTTACTCATTATTATTTAATAATTGGCCATTTGTGTTCATGTGCCTCAAGACCATTCCCTGACAAAAGAATTTCTTTGTGAATGATAAAATTACCACCACTGTATAGGAAGCCTGATATAAAGCGTAAATTACACCTAACATTTCTGAGCTTCAGAAGCCAGTCTGCAGTCAGGAGGTGCTCCATGTAAGCCCTTCCGAAACTGACAAATACGATTTGGTTGTACAATCAGATATAATATATTTGTTAGTTTCAACTTTTAAAATGCAATAAGTTATAATTCATAAAATGCAAACTAATAATGTTTGCCTGTCACACATTAAAGAGCTCTGAGCTAGTACGGCTAACATCTGTAAGGCACAAAAAGAATTATAGAATTTAGGATAACACTGCACAGGGCATAAGTACAAATCATGAACAAATATAGTAACTGCATGAAATTTGTATTTACGTACATGAGAACTGGTGCAACAACGGGAAAATTATAGGCAAACACTGTTCCCCTGATCTCGAGTACATGTCTGTTAGATGCCGGCCTTTTTTTCTACCAAGAGAGCTAACAGTAGTGATCGTCATGGCTGTGTACATTCCACCCGATGCCAATGCAAACAAGGCGCTCTCTCTCCTTCTGAACACCATTATCGAACAGCAGCGGGCCCACCCCGACGGTGTTCACATAATTGCAGGAGACTTCAACAAGGCCAACTTGAAGACTGTACTCCCGAAATTTTATCAACATGTTAAGTGTTCTACTAGAGGGGAGAACACTCTGGACCACATTTACTCCAACATCAAGCATGCGTACAGAGCCATACCCCTCCCCGAACTCAGCCAGTCCGACTACCTTTCTCTCCTGCTCTCCCCAGCCTACACCCCCCTCAGACGCAGGGCCAGGCCCATCACAAAGCCTATTACAACCTGGCCTGAAAATGCACTCTCCGCACTATAGGACTGCTTCGAACAGACAGACTGGGACATATTTGAACATCAAGAGCTGGAAACACTCACAGGAACGGTCCTGGACTACATCAAGTTCTGCATCGGAAATGTGACTGTAGACAAAAACATACGGGTCTTCCCAAACAAAAAACCCTGGATGACCAGCCAGGTCCGTACACTCCTCAGAGCCCGCGACGCTGCTTTCAGGTGAGGTGACAGAGCTCTGTACAGAGCTGCCCTGAAAAGTGGAATTAAAAAAGCCAAGACGGACCATAAGAGGAGCATAGAGTCCCACCTGTCCAGCCATAATACACGGGAGGTGTGGCAAGGAATACAAAACATCACAAATTACAGAGGCTGTGATGCAACAACAGGAGATCTGAGTGTGCCGCTAGCAGAGGAGCTAAACTGCTTCTTTGCTCGCTTTGATTCATCAAAACAGCAGCACTCACCTGCTCCAGCACTGCTTCCACCCCCACCGGGTTCCTGCACCACTCCACTCACAGTAAAGGAGCATGATGTCAGACAGGTGCTCCTGGCAGTGAACCCCAAGAAGGCTGCCGGCCCAGATGGAGTCCCTGGTAGGGTGCTCAGAGCGTGTGCCCACCAGCTCACCCTCATCTTCACCAAAATCTTCAACCTCTCCCTAGCCCAGGCAGCCATTCCTTCCTGCCTAAAATCAGCCACTATCATACCGGTGCCGAAGAAGTCTCCTATCACTAGCCTAAACGACTATCGCCCTGTGGCCCTCACTCCGGTAATTATGAAGTGCTTTGAGAGACTGGTTCTCCAGCACATCAAGGACTATCTCCCCCAAGACTTCGATCCCTACCAGTTCGCATATCGTGCTAACAGATCCACAGAAGATGCTATCGCCGTAGCTCTCCACTCTGCGCTCAGCCATCTGTAGCGGCAGCAGAGCTACGTCCGGATGCCCTTTGTGGATTACAGCTCAGCGTTTAATACAATCATCCCTGACATTCTCATCACCAAACTGGTCACTCTAGGCCTCCCCCATCTCACATGTGTCTGGATAAAGGACTTTCTTACCAACCGACTCCAGACTGTGAGACTCGGCCCCCACCTCTCCTCCATTCGCACACTGAACACCGGATCCCCACAAGGCTGTGTGCTGAGCCCCCTCCTATACAGTCTCTATACCCATGACTGTAGTCCGGCCCAAGTCAAGTTTGCTGACGACACCACAGTGATTGGACTCATCTCAAAGGGAGACGAGGCAGCTTACAGAGAGGAGGTCCTGAAGTTGGCTGCCTGGTGTTCAAAGAACAATCTGGCTCTGAACACCAGGAAAACCAAGGAGATCATAGTCGACTTCAGGAGGCACAGCAACGACTTAGCCCCCCTCTACATCAATGGTTAGTGTGTGGAGAGGGTCCACACCTTCCGGTATCTCGGCATCCTTATCTCCGCTGACATCTCCTAGACCTAGACAGACAACATCACAGCAGTTACCAAGAAGGCTCAGCAGCGGTTACACTTCCTGAGGGTCCTCAGGAAGCACAACCTGGACTCCAACCTGCTACTGACCTTCTACCGCTCGTCCATCAAGAGCCTGCTGACGTACTGTATCACAGTATGGTACAGCAGCTGCACCATGGCAGACAGGGAGAGGCTTCAGAGAGTAGTAAAGGCAGCACAGAAGATCATCGGCTGCCCTCTCCCCTCCCTGATGGATATTTACACCTCCCACTGCCTCAGCAGAGCAAAAAGCATCGTCAATGACAGCTCCCACCCTGACAGCTCCCACCCTGGCTCTGATCTCTCAGGGAGGCGCTACAGGTGCATCACAGCTAGGACAAACAGACTCAAGAACAGTTTTTTCCCCAAAAGCCATAGCCATCCTAAACGTACACATGCACTGACTGGACAGTAGACTGTGCAATATCCAGTACCTAAATGGTATCGAGAGCTCTGCAATACCGTACACTGTGCAATATGTCCCAACATAATCTTCCACATGATCATTATTACAATGTAGCACACTACATATCACATTGGTATTCATATATCCATCCATTCATCATCCAACCCGCTTATCGTACAGGGTCACGGGGGGTCTGGAGCCTATCCCGGAAGCAACGGGCACGAGGCAGGGAACAACCCTGGATGGGGGGGGCAGCCCATCGCAGGGCACACTCGCATACCATTCACTCACACATGCACACCTAAGGGCAATTAGCCTCAGCATGTCTTTGGACTGTGGGGGGAAACTGGAGTTCCCGGAAGAAACCCCATGACGACACGGGGAGAACATGCAAACTCCACACACATGTGACCCAGGCAGAGACTCGAACCCATGTCCCAGAGGTGCGAGACAACAGTGCTAACCACTGCACCACCATGCCGCCCCGTATTCATGTATTTAAAACTCTATTCAGTTATTTATTTCTAATGTATATAGCGCTACAAAGCTTTGCACTATTTGTTTATTGTTTGTTTATTGTGTATTGTTTGTCGTGTGTACATGTTTGCACTGAAGGTGTTGCTCTTAATCTCACTATACATGTATAGTGACAATAAAAGGCATTCATTCATTCAAATACAAGAACCATGATGACTGATTAATGATGAGTGAACTTCGGATCAGTACATAACTAACACAGTTTCTGGTTAAATTAATACATTAAGTAAGAGTGAACTACTACATTATTTGTGTCCCTTAAGTGTTAACATATTTAGTGTATTTGAGTGAGCCTTTTGATTGCAGTGTGTCTGCAGAAAATCACAAAGTTACCATTGAGAGGAATGCACTGGACACCATTCCCCTGGAATCCGGGCCAGCACTGACACTCAAAGGATCCCTCAGTATTTGAGCAGGAGGCGCAAGAATGGCAGGGGTGGGACTTACATTCATCTATGTCTGGTTCAGGAGGAAAAACAAACTGGTTATCACCTAAATACAGGGGCTAGATTTCCCAGTGGGCCGCTGACTTTTCCTGGCCGGTCCAGCTGCTGTGCGCACCCATTAAAATTCTCATAAATAAATGCACAAGCATGTAGTAAAACAATGAAAAGTCGGCCCCTCCCCAAGGCTTTGCGTGCATGTGTTCAATGTGGAAAAAAGCGGGCAGAGCTCTGTCTAAAATAAAGAAATTAAAATGGTACAAAACTGCTTTTTGTGAAGCTAAACTCAAACTGCCTTTTCCAATGGTTGGCAAATTGAAAAGAACCTAGAAATAAGGTGCTGAAAAATGAAGGATAATCCAAAAAAAGTTGCTAGAGAAAATTCCAAAGAAACTGTACAAAACATTCTGCTCTATTTAAAACAGGTAAGAAAAGTTGTAGTCTATTAATTTTAGTATTTTCTCTGCCATTTTCTAAAGCAGAATATATTTCCAGCTGATTTAAGAGTGCTTTTTCTGCCAATCACAGCCTCCCCCCAAGGGGCTGGTCCATATTATGTCACTCTAGGGCTGAAAGACCCATTCTGCCCCTGCCTGAATAGGTATTTTATAGCAATAGTGGTTTCAGTTCCTAAACCTAGAATGTTTGATTAATGTTTAAGTTGGTAATTTATATGTCCTTGGATCTGTATGAAAGTAGAACAATGTGATTAAAATGGGTGGAACTGCAAAAATGAATCATTAAGTAGGCATGATATTCTCCTGAAAAGCAGAGCGACAGCAGGAAGAGTGGGGTCTCCGAACTCCCTCTGCTTCTCAGCTGCATCTCCCACACACATGGCTGAAGACACTGGCCTATTGTTCTGCTGGCTAAAGTGAGAACACTCCCTTCCCCCACTAAGCAATCCTACTTTCTAGCCACTTCTGCCTGTATTGAGCAATGAAAACACTTGCTGGTGACTAACTGTATTCACACAAGACTCGACAGCTCACACACATACTGTAAATATGAACTGTATGAAAATGTCTGTGTGAATGAAAATGTAACACTTCATAATAATGTTTATTTAAACTGCATTTATAAGCCTTTAGTTAAACATTAACCAATCATTTCAACACC